TAACCAAAAAAAAAAAAAAAAAAAAAAAAAAAAAAAAAAAAAACTCCAAAGGCATCCATGTTGGGTGCTATTCAACCCACACTCAACGTGACTAAGTCAGATAACTCTTTTTCAAACTCATGCCCGACATTATTAATCACATGCCAAACATTAATGCAGTCAAGAGCCTCTAACCTATATCATACCCAATGTCTTGAAGTTGTGTCTGACGCGATAATAATTTATACACTTGACAAAATTACCCAACATATAACTCGGATAATTAATCAACAAGAGTTAAAAATCTAACTTCCTATACTTCCAAACTCCACAAGAAAAAAGGAATAAGAGGGAAATGAAGCTCTTTGGGGAACATCACACAAAATTGCTACCACTACTTGTTTCTCAACCTTGTAGTTTTAAATCACCAATCCACTACTCAAATATGAATCTTCACATTCTTGAGAAGGCTAAGAAAAGAAAGAAGAAGTTTAGGATCTATAGTCTTTCTCTCTAAGTTTTTTCTAAATTTTCTAATGAAACGAACTTATAAAATCTACTTCTAAAAAAAATATTATATAACTCACTCCTAGGTCAAATCGATCTTTACTCATAGACATCCTAAACAACTACAAACTTATAAGGAATTCTTTTATATATTTCTCATAGTTTTTCAATAATCAAATAACACAACAACATACATTTTAATAAAATCAACAAACATTAATAAAAATACAATATTGCAATAGTTAATAAAAAATTTCATTTATAATGTAAATGTATTATATAATTACTTAATAAAAATTTTCAATTGAAAGATAAAACAATCTCATTAAAAATAAAGACAAAAAGTAATTAAGAAAAAAAGTTGTTATTTTTTATGTATTGTTATAAATTCCTCCAAATAGAATGGAGGGAGTGTAAATAGTATTATACAGTTTAGTCAGGGTGCAACAGTTTCACTAAAACAGATAAATCCGACTAAATTTACATTTAGTTCAATTTAATTACTTAAGGTGTCACTTAATAAAATACTAATAAATATTTTTTAATTTTATATAAGAAACTTAACTTATAAATTGGCAAAGTTTTGATTGACATAACTTTTCATCTTTTATCTAATTGTAGTAAACATTTTTTTTTCTATTTTATGTCGTTTTGTCAACGCCTTCTCACTACTTTTTTATTTTTATTTTTTTTGTGTGTGCATGGATTTTTGGTTAATATCACACATTGGTTACAACAAAAACTGCAATGTGAATATTTTTATTTTTTTTATAAAACTACAAAATATATAACAAAATCAGCTTTTGAGAAATAGTTGTAAACTATTTATTTGAAGTTTAAGAAAAAGCATAGATTAAGGAACGTGCAGGTAAAAGAGTTGTTTCTGAATGTATAAAGTTTGATATTTTTTAGAAATCATAGTGTATAAATATTTTTCTTTCTTAATTCACTAAAATATATATTTGAAGACAAAATTATAATTGTTTAACAAGGGTTAAAATGAACATTACTTTAAAAACAGTAATTTTAAAGATATTAATAGACTTATGATTGAAACATGGGTGACAAAAGGAGGATTGAGACTACTCTTGTCCCTTAATCTTGGTCATGAACTTATTTTGATATGTTTAAAAGTTTCACTTAAGAATTGAGGTCAATGATAGTTTATAAACATTTTTCCTTCTTAACCCATTGAAACATCTTTTCATGAATAAAATTAGAGTTAATCACATATACACTGTCAGTGTAAAGTTTTTCTACACTGATAATCAATCATATCTTGTAATAGTACTATGTCATTTGCTTATTTAATAAAATAAAAAAAATAAAATAATTTGAAAGATATGATTGGTTGTCAGTGTAAAAAACTTTACACTCACAGTATATGGATGATTAACTCATAAAATTATGACGATCCAACGAACATCAAAATGGACAATATCTTAGACACGATGATTCTAACGAATCTAGCAAACTTGCAATTGGAACAAGAATAAATACAAATTATTTTATATACATGATATATTGGTCATATTTAAATATTATAATTTTTTGTCTCTAAAAAGCGAGAGTCATTTATTAAATTATTATTTTTTAAAGAGCAATAATCATAAAATTTCAATATGACCTTATAATTTTGAAATTTGAAACGAAGAGAAGATGCATTCTCTTCTAATGAGTAACAAATGTTAGACGTCAAGACTTGTGTAATTTGATGGAGCCCTATTATTCTTTTGTTCCATGTTACTGCCTTCGAATATTCCTACTAAATAAAGTTGACTATTTTTCCATTGAAAAAAACAATAATGTTAATTGCCATTAAGGCTAATTCAATATTACTCTACTGTATAACTGAAAGAATTAAATGAAGTAGCAGGCATGTGTCTGTATTTTCCCCTTTTTCTTAATATACTAACTTACATCTTTGCCAAAAAAAAAAAAAACAAACAAACTTACTTCTTTGTTTAAATCCTCAATCTTTTAGAGGATGGAAAAGAAAATAAAGGAAAACAATAATTTTTGAGTAATATACAACCCAAAATTTATCTCCCAACGCCAGCAATTGAAATGATGCAAGATTTGAGTTGAATCATTTACAGTTGAACGACATAGGAAAAGATGTTACCTACTGTGATGTCGCATGTGAAGTCCACGTACTGATTTTTACTAAACCTGATATCACCTAAGGACATAAGTTTCGTTGTTGGCGTGAGAATCTTATTACTAAATTAATAAATAGAGAGGTATGTTTGTAATACTCTTTTACATTTTTATAGACATATTTTTATATTTTTAAAATTTTTAATAAATAATATGTAAATAAATATATTTCTAGATATTTGTTAAATCTGGAAGCCAGTTCCAGTACTAGTGAGCTTATGGAACCACCTCACTTAAACTTTAATAAATAAATATAAAAAAAAAACATAGAATATCTGAGACAATATCAGAATGATTAAAAAAAAGAAAAAAGAAAAAGAAAAGCGGTAGATGTAGTTAGAATATTGGCGTTGGTGAAAGTGGGAGAAAAAGGGAAATATTTGTATGTTGTGCATGGGGGACCAATGGTTCCACGCGGACGTTCGTGCGCCCAGATGCGTTGAAAATAATTCCCATGGACCCCCTAATAAGTAATAACTGTTATCTTTCATTCAAAAATAAATAAACAATTTCTTACAAAATTATTTTATCTACAAAAACTTTAAAAAAATAAAAATAAATAATTAGGAGATAGAGAGGTAGTTGACCCAACTTAAAATCCCGGCACGCCGTATATTTTACTACCGTAAATAATAAGTTTTTTTTTTTCTCTTCAAATGTTTAGTTCGGATAAAC